CTTTCCCTAATAAAAACCATACAGTCTTTTCTGGAATACAAAGACAATTATTCCCTCTGTAACATCGAAATTATGAACACAGAATAATACGGAGTTTGACTAGTCAATGTTCTAGTAGAATATAGATTCTAAAAATGAGGGTGTTGGGGTATAAAAGGAGGGACTGACACATACAACCTGCTCGTGCTCTCTTCTAGGGATAGACCTGCCGTTCATGATGATGCCCCACCCTCTGCTTCCCGTCAGCCTACCTCCCGCTTCGGTTGCGATGGCAATGAATCAGATGAACCACCTCAATACGATAGCTAACATGGCTGCAGCAGCCCAAATGCACAGTCCGCTTTCCCGGGCAGGGGCCTCTGTGATAAAGGTAAGTCATCTGTGAGACTTAGAAAAAACATCTTTTTGTGGGTAACAGAGACATTTACAGTGACTTTCTTAAGGCAGATAACTAAGAGACGGTGAGCTTATAGCAGGTGTACAGCACACCTGGTCTGCTGCTCCTGCCAGGGCTTCGCTCTGAGGGAATACCCACGGGTGCAGTCAAGAAGGGAAGATGCTCTGCTCTGTCTACAATTCTGTAATGTAATTAAAAACAGATACGAACACTCACTAGAGGCTAGGGGATAAGCAGTGCCGCATCTGTTAAAGCTCAAAAGCTCTTCTAAAATATTGTTGAAACTCAAACTTAATGTTACACTACAAAGAAAATGCTATAGACCATAGCAGGAACTGTGGTGCGGCGCAGTTCTAGAACAGGTTAATAGCAGAGAAAATCGTCAGAAGTACCGTAGGGAGTATAGGCTCTGGTAGCCACACCTAGATTTCCTTCTGGCTGGGTAGAACACGTTTATACTTTTGAAAGGCATCCGATAGTCTCTTCCAGACACCTTGTTAGGAAAACTTCATGCCTGTGTTGAGAGGCAAAGTCCTGCTACACACTGAAAAATATGTTGAGAAGTTTTCAACGTAGACAGGGGCAGGAGCAGGGTGTGAAGGGCTGGTGCTGTGGGGTTCTCTAAAACACACCGCGTGCTCTTTCTATTAAGCAAAAAGGAAAGGTTTTATCAATCTAACTTTTGTGTGTATTTGCCTGCACATGCATGTTTGTTGTTGACAAAGTTTTGTCAGCTTTGAAAGGTAGTTGTTTTAGTCTATTTTTCTTAGTTTTTAAGTATATTTAGTCTATAGAGCTAACTGTTCTGGAAAGTATGTGTCTCTGTTCTGATATTTATGCTCATTTTCACTCAAGTATCCACATCATTCTGGAATCTGAGAGTTCCGAGTTGCTTTATTCTAATAACTTGCACTGATTTTCTGAACTTAATCTCTCGTATCTTTATTGTACAACATCTTAATTATAAAATATTGATATTTTATTATGGAGAAAGTTGCTGTTGCCAATATTACAGGCCAATTGTGAGAATAAATGTTAGGATTTTGTTGTACTTTTTATTGTCTCAGCTTGCCACTGCAGGAAATTTTGTTTCTACATTAAGCAGGGAAAGAAATTAGTAGTACACAAACATGTGTTTATTTTCATACTTGTATTTGTTGATATCAGCATACTTTCAAGGAAGAAAGCCAGTCTCTCTTTGTCACGTTACAGTAGCATAAAATAGTATGTGCCTCTGTTTCTGAGGTTCTGGAGATCTTCATTTTTCTTCTGATCATCGTCTTGGCCCTGAGCGTCTCCAGAGTTGCCTCCGGTTGTTTTTCATCTCTGCCCAGAGTCTACTTCCCAATTAGGGTGAATGTTGTTCTTAATACTTTGATTTATTTTTTTTTTTTACATTTTGGTTTCTTGGATTCTGGGAGGCTGGCAAAGTTCAGGAGGGGTGTTCCCCAGCTGGAGGCTATCTAGGATTAAGATCTATAAAAACTTATGCTGGTCATCCGTGTATCTGCCCAGCTGTTGAGTGGGTGGTGGAAACATGGTATCTCTGATGTCCAGCTGTCCATTAGGTAATGCAAGTCGCTCAATGGTTAGAAACTGAGATTCCACGCATTTCACTTGGTATCCTTTTCTTTAATGGTTCCAGAGACCTCTTGAGAAAACCATAACTTAAATACAGCTTTGATTATATTTGAAATGCTATCAGTATGTCAAAATGAAGATTAAATATGTATTTGTAAACAATGGTAGTTCTCTGTAATATAAACTACAGTTTTTGCAAGCAGTTAGGTTTAAGGATGCTCTTTAACAGGCCCTTGCTGATGCTGGTTACTTATTTACAGCTGTTTTTTCCCCAGCACCTGCACTAGAGGATACAAAATATCTCCACAGCAACAGTAGGTCTCAGCAGCACTCTAGTGGGAATTATTTGCTCTACATGATGTAGAGGAAAATACGCCAGGAGCTAATGTGCCAGAGGAAGAGTGTGCATCCATCGCTGCGCTACTCTCACCTGTCAAGTGATGCTGCATCGTTCTCTTTTGTGTTGAGTGCTGAAACTGTAGATGAGTTTTATTACAGAGAAAGTGAGGCTCCTTTTGTCATTTCGTTCTCTTCTGTACAGTGATCTGTCTCTGAATGACGATCAATTAAGATGAAATCCTTGTACCAAACGAAACAGGTAAAAGAAGAGCATGGCTGCTGCTGTTACCTGTCAGCAGTATTACTTTTATTATATGACATTATTTCAATGCATTTAATAAGTACAAAAAATGACTAGTTTTAGATAAACTGCAATGCCAGCATCATGATGTTACTTAAAATGGGAGAAATGAATCGAATATATTAAGTGTGTATCTATTTCTGTATTCTGATGACTAAAATACCACTCGGCCTGTTGTCTATAGGTGTGAGAATCAGCTGCTTTATAAAGGTTTTGAATGAAGTCATTGGGCTTTTTATATCACGTTTGCCATTTAGAAGTAAGCTGTTCTACCAAGATATGCATGATCAGCAAAGTTAACATTTAGTGCTCCAGAAAGAAATGTCATAACTATGAAACTTGATTTCTTCCTGACAGGAACGCTATAAATTAGGCAGTCACAATGGCCAGGCTCACAAAACCTCCTTAGCCATCTGTAATATGATCGGATGTGATTATAGCAGCACCCGCTAGCAGTGCTGGAGCTGCGGTTCTGACAGCGCCCGGGTAATAAATCCAGCCTTTCAGGGACTGACGGCGCATCTGAAAGAGCTTGCTCCGTTGGCAGCTTGGCTCAGGTGGTTGTGGAGAATCTGTGTCACCGAGGGTCTCGTATGGCAAAACCAAAACTGGACGGCGACACTGACTTCACCACCCTCCCTCTTCTCCCCCTTGCATCTTCTCTCCTGTTAGTTCTTTCTTTCCAGAGATATTCTCCAGCTGGATGAACTTTGCGGTCCGGTTCCCGGCCTAGGTGTAAAATGCTTTGCCAGCCTGGCCTTGAGGGGCGGTCTGGGGTGGAACTAGCTGAAGTAGACTGGAATCATGGTGTAGGCTAGAAACAATACTGAATAACTATAGTAGTTTACTGTCATGCAATAATTTTGTTCCTGAAACTCAGACAAATCTACTCAGTGACGATACTTTCAGGTCTTCAGGAGCGAAGTTTGAATGGGCCCTTTATACGAAAGAGAAAGGATTTTTCACTGGAGTTTGTAGAACAGCTCAACTCCAGAGAGCAATAACTACACAGCATGAAGATTTGTATTTTACAGTGGACCTGTAATGAATATGGCTGATTATGTAACAAATGAACATGACTATTAATATGCGTTCACAGCATATTGTACAGTTTATCATAAAGGAGCCGTTAAGATGTATGCTGAGAACACAAACTGAATAGAATGCTAAAAGCACGCTTAAATCTTGACAGATCATTTCAATTAAATTGGGTCCAGAGGAGCTGAGACCTCACAGCTCATAACGCGGATGGTAAATGCATGAAGAGATGTCACAGCATCTTGTGTTCATTGTCGGTGCTGTAGAACCTCAGAATCAGACCATGCCCATAGAACAGTACTCTGTGCGTAGCGGAACGAGACCTCAAGCTGCGGACCCTCAAGCCGTGTACGATAACGGCATCAGAGTGTTAAGGTAGTGCCATCAAGCCTAAAGTCTTGGTTTATACAGATTAAGCCAGATAAGGGACCTACATGGCTAAAAACCGTATTAGCTTACACAATGTCAGCCTGCGGGCGGGAGGTTTGGGGTTAGGAGGGCTGGCAAGAGCCAAGCGTCGGAGCTGTGGCTGCACGAGCGTCTGCGTGTTCACTGAACGGCCGCTTCCCAGGTGTCCTTGGAGACGGGCTGGTGGGAGCTACTGTGGTGAGGGTGGGCTTCCAGCTGTGGGGACCGAGTCCAAACCAGGGGCCTTAAGCCGCTCTCTTTAGCGTTAAATGTCAAGAGCGTACTGACAGTCAGGAGGCAAAATATGATCCTAGCAATTTGAGAGGCTCTTTTACCATTTTCTTCCTGTTTTTCCTTGCTTCTTGTTCCATTCATCCCACATGCTTTGCACTTCCCTTGCTCCTCTTGCTCATGTCTCGCCCTTCCTCCTCCATCGCTCCTCCTTCTTGTCGTTCTCTCTCCCTTTCCTTCTGGCTCTCCAGCAGCCTCTTCCGAGCTGAGCGATGTGCTTCTCCTGAGTAGGAGTATTTCTACAAATTGGTTTCCTGCAGTCCATTTTTCTTCTGTTGTCATTCCCTCGTGTTTGCTGCATTCCTACTTTTCTCTTGTTTTTTCTGCTCTTATCCAGGTCCCAGCTAGGAATGAGTGGCACATTTGTTGAACGCAGCTGGAAAACCCAGAGAAAAGTTGAAATGAATTGGGGAAAAAAAGGACATTTTAGGTGAAATGCAGTGTTTTGTTAGGGATACCGAAATCTTGTATTTCACATCAACCTTACACATTCTCCGTCTGAATATTTTGGTCTACTGATAAACAGAACAAAGCATGATTTGTACATGTGTGATCTAGACGTGCAGTAGAGATTTTGGAGTCTCCTTTTCTTTGTGTTCTGTTGTTCTCCTTGTTTTGTGGGATTGTTAAAGCATTTGTAAAGGATGTATATGACATGATTTTAGGTTCCCTAAAGAGAATACAGATGGGCTGTGTAATTATTGCTGAGAGGTGCTATTTTCTGTGCTGTACAACTCACATTCATAATATTTACCTGACAGCCAGAAAAATGTAGCCATCTCAGAATACTCTGAAACAATTCTTCTCAGTATAAAAACATTTCTCATTACAGAATTTGTAACACTTAATTTCATATTTCTGTGCACTAAATTGATTCTGAATTGTTCTCAGAATATTACAAGATTTGCAAAATAAAACTTCCATAAAATTTATGTTATTTTACTTATTATTAGATTTATTCTGTCATAGCACGCTCATTGCTGGCAGCTTATGGAGGACTGGGTACTAGAATGTG